AAAAAAACCCAATTGTGTTTATCAGTAGTATTTTATTGGGTACAACATCCGTGAAAAGCATTTTATCAAAAAAATGCCGTTATTTATTTCAACATTGTGAGAAGACAATTGTTAAAAACGTGAAAGGCATAAAACGTGTTAGGGGTGCAATTGCTTATTAAACATTTATAGTCAAAATCACCTAGTAAAGAAATGAAAAAAAGCACTCCAAATAACCAGTTAATGATATCGCTGTGTGCGTGGCTGGTGGCTGGTGGCTGGTGCTACCATTAGGCCAACTAGGCCCCGCCTGATACGCAGACCTAAGAGGGGTTACAGTTTTAGACATACTTAATGATTGGTGTGTTACTGATTTTAGCGGTATAAAATTAATCCAGCAATTTCAAGTTTCTGGGCGGGGGTTAAAGATGCATTATGTAAGATTTAGATAAATAGCTGGCCATTCTTGCTATACAAGTTCCAAAATAGATAATGGAATATGAATATATTGAAAATGTCATTCAAATTACTATATTCGGATCGAAGTTGTCACTGTTTGAAGTTGTGGCATAGATTGTTTATAATCGCAGCAACGATACTTATTAATGGATACTCAGCCTCAATTCACCATTTTTTTAATTAAATCATTAAATGGCCATCGTGTTTCAATCCGCTGATCATAGATTTGTCATGTCAATAAAATGTCTAAATAATAATTATATAATATTTGAAGCCAAAATAAAGACCTGCAATAAACAGATAAAGTTCTTACATAATGCATGTTTTACTCCAGCCCGGGATGTTTGTCATATTAACAAGAACTGCAGACATTTACAAAATATACATGCAGTGGTTGAGATCGATAAACAAAAATAAGCACAATTTTACTTTTAATGTTCTGACAATGGACGATTATGAAAAGAAAGGCATTTATTGCCTGGGTAAAAATCAAAGAACAAGATATTCGAGACAATATTATTAAAATAAACAATCAAGGGAAAATAAAATCTCTATAAATTCTATAAAAATAAGCTTCTTACAGTAGCAAATATTTATAAGCAAATGCTATACCATTACTATGATTATATACACCTTAACTATACAACATACAATAATTATTACATAATATATACATTTAACATTACTTTTATCACTTTTATCATTTTCACTGTTCAGAGGTATAAAGACATTCCTGTATTATCTGAATTTGTTGTTCTATAGCGGATATAGAGGAGTTGGGATTTGAAAAGACTAGGCGGAAAGGTCATTGTCCGGGGAAAACATCTGCCCTTCTTAAAAATACCAGAGTATTGTGTTGAGAGATACTGAACCCTATTTTACTCCATATGGAGTTTACCTGAATTCAGCTTGTTAACTAGACAATAAGTTAAATAATGACACGAATCGCAGACCCATTGCAGCATGTCGTCACTCAATACCTATCGCCTGAATCCAAAAATTTCGCAACCCCAGTTTGATTCGCAGATACGTGCTCTGTTATCTGGATTCCTATTTGAACATTTTAGGACACAAAGATAATAGAAATGAAATGGGGTTTAAGGCCATGAAGACGGGCATAGGTCATACAGTGTGCTATGATGAACACTTTGCTCGGACAGCAAAGGGTTCTTTTGCGTGCCAATAACGTGTATACAGGACCTTTTTAGTATTCCGTCCCATCCGAACGACTATACATTGTCCCTTTCAGACCCTCTGTCCTGCATCACTGACAAGGGGAAGCTACGCCGGAATATCCATATGGAAAAGAGAATAGATTATAAATCTCAGAAGACTTAGATTTTAGTTTGTGGCAATCTAACATGCCTGTAGTCACAATATCATAGGTGTGTCATTATACCTTTCTGATTTGCAGATGAGCTTCTGTATACCACATACTACATCAAACTTTCAACTAAGCATCATTTATGTTTTTGGACCAGGTACTGGGCCCCTAGCGCTACTCATCTTGCTCCTAAGGCTCCGCGAATTCAAGTACGAATACTTGTTCCTTATACAATTGTGCAGGAACTGGGTCCCTGGCGCTACTCATGCTGCTCTTCTATGCGGCGAAGCTTTTCGAACAAAATCATAGTCTCCGTCAATTCAAGTACGATCGACTTGAAACTTGGAATGTCCGGTCCTTAGACAACTGCGCATCGATTCCATGATGGCAGCGATGACGTCATGCCCAGTTCCTGGTCCATAGTACCCTATGTGCAATTGGAATATTAAGTTAAACATGACCAGCTGATCATAATTTAAATTAAAATAACAAAAATATGTTCATGCGTTTACAACATCAATAGCAAAATGTTTAATTGTGGTTAATAAAATGGAACCGAGTTCGAATCTTGCTCTTGACTGAATTTGATGACTTCCATACTTTTACACTACGTCATCGGCCATGACGCGTAGCGACACTATACTAGATCATTCCAAGAATGTGATAAGTTGCGGTGGTCATTTTGCACAAATGATAACATGACATTTCTGAATTTTGCAAATATTTGTATTAGAAAGAACGCAGGCTAATGATTTACCGAAGTTTAACTCTCAAAACCCATCGAATATTTTAATCTCGGCCTATTTGTAAATTTTTATTTCCTCGACCTTACCGTCAAATGAGTAACGTCGGCTTCTGAAATTCACTATCAAGTTTTTACTCCATTTTAATATAGTTAGAGATGGGTGTCGATGCTTACAATTTGCAGAACACAAGCCCCCCCCCCCCCCCCGCCCTATTATTGTTAAGTCCATAAAGATAACAAGTTTTGGTGTATTTTTGTTAATGTGTAATTAAATCAATCCTGTTTCTATAGGTGTGGAGATATCAAGAATTTCTCCAAACATGACGTGTACATTATATAACGGTTAATGCAACCCCAGTTTGATTCGCAGATACGTGCTCTGTTATCTGGATTCATATTTGAACATTTTAGGACAAAAAGAGAATAGAAATGAAATGGGGTTTAAGGCCATGAAGACAGGCATAGGTCATACAGTGTGCTATGATGGACACTTTGCTCGGACAATAATGTGTATACAGGACCTCAGTATTTCGTCCCATCCGAACGACTATACATTGGCTCTTTCAGACCCTTTTGTCCTGCAACACTGACAAGGGGAAGCTACGCCGGAATATCCATATGGAAAAGAGAATAGATTATAAATCTTAGAAAACTTAGATTTTAGTTTGTGGCAATCTAACATGCCTGTAGTCACAATATCATAGGTGTGTCATTATACCTTTCTGATTTGCAGATGAGCTTCTGTATACCACATACTACATCAAACTTTCAACTAAGCATCATTTAGGTTTTTGGACCAGGTACTGGGCCCCTAGCGCTACTCATCTTGCTCCTAAGGCTCCGCGAATTCAAGTACGAATACTTGTTCCTTATACAATTGTGCAGGAACTGGGTCCCTGGCGCTACTCATGCTGCTCTTCTATGCGGCGAAGCTTTTCGAATAAAATCATAGGCTCCGTCAATTCAAGTACGATCGACTTGAAACTTGGAATGTCCGGTCCTTAGACAACTGCGCACCGATTCCATGATGGCAGCGATGACGTCATGCCCAGTTCCTGGTCCATAGTACCCTATGTGCAATTGGAATATTAAGTTAAACATGGCCAGCTGATCATAATTTAAATTAGAATAACAAAAATATGTTCATGCGTTTACAACATCAATAGCAAAATGTTTAATTGTGGTTAATAAAATGGAACCGAGTTCGAATCTTGCTCTTGACTGAATTTGATGACTTCCATACTTTTACACTATGTCATCGGCCATGACGCGTAGCGACACTATACTAGATCATTCCAAGAATGTGATAAGTTGCGGTGGTCATTTTGCACAAATGATAACATAACATTTCTGAATTTTGCAAATATTTGTATTAGAAAGAACGGAGGCTAATGATTTACCGAAGTTTAACTCTCAAAACCCATCGAATATTTTAATCTCGGCCTATTTGTAAATTTTTATTTCCTCGACCTTACCGTCAAATGAGTAACGTCGGCTTCTGAAATTCACTATCAAGTTTTTACTCCATTTAAATATAGTTAGAGATGGGTGTCGATGTTTACAATTTGCAGAACACAAGCCCCCCCCCCCCCCCGCCCTATTATTGTTAAGTCCATAAAGATAACAAGTTTTGGTGTATTTTTGTTAATGTGTAATTAAATCAATCCTGTTTCTATAGGTGTGGAGATATCAAGAATTTCTCCAAACATGACGTGTACATTATATAACGGTTAATGCATCTGGCACGTATCAGTATTCTTTTTGGCACTGATCTTAGAGAGAAGAATTCTGAATATTATGCAACATACGTAGATAACTATGTCATGACGTCATGACACATCTGGCAAGTACCATAATGTACCTAACGGAATCGCTTAACGTCATTCAATCATTTGACTTTTGTGCAGGAGGCGGCGGGGTGGGGGTTGGAGATGGTGGAGTACTCAAGCTATAGTTCCCTAAATTCGTCTATTTGCGGACAGCATAACCTTTTTTCGATATTTATCGGAGCTTTTAGGACAAATATAAATCTCATAATTTCAGGCATACCCCCACCACACTCAAAATAAATCAGAGAGGAATCCACACACCTTTGCATACAAAACGAAAATCTTTAATTACCTTTACACTATCTAGTTTTTAACTATTATAGCGAGAACTGCCATCTCTTTATCTTATCTCCCATAATGTATCTTTAATTGGCCAAGAGCTAAAATTTGTTCTAGGATTTTAAATCTCAACCAATGAAAAGGCTGCATTACTAAAATATTTTAATTTAAGTTTTCGTGAATAAGGTCCCTGGTCGGAGTAGGTTTAGTCTTTTACCTTAACACATAATTGATCTTGTGAAAGCCATATAACACCTCAATTCAATAGCCATATAACGGTTTGTTGCTGGTATGGTCGGGGTGGGTTGGGTCTTTAATCTTTTAGCTACACACATAATGGATCTTGTGAAAGCCATAATCATGTCAATTTAATAGCCATATAATTTTATAAGGCCCCTGGTGGGGTGGGGTGGGTCTTTAATCTTTTAGCTACACACATAATGGATCTTGTGAAAGCCATAATCATGTCAATTTAATAGCCATATAAGTTTATAAGGCCCCTGGGTGGGGTGGGGTGGGTCTTTACTCATTTAGCTACAAACCTAATTCATCTTGTGAGAGCCATAATCATGTCAGTTCAATAACGATATAACGGTTTGTTGCTGGATGGTGGGGGTGGGTTGGGTCTTTAATCTTTTACCTGTACACATATTATTGATTTTGTGAAAGCCTCATTCTTATCAATTCAATATACATAACAGTTTGTTACTGTCGTACACGCACAGATACTTTCTTCGGGATATCATTAGTTCTTAAATAGATCTATGTTATAATGTATCTCCACAGACGATCTTTCGTAAACATATTAATAGTCCTTTTATAACGTGCTTTAAAAATCATTTCGCTAAACATACATTATGCAAGCGCTAAATCCGCCAATTGCAGGTCTTTCTTTTGGTCTGAAATGTTATCTAAATTATTAATTAGACATTAATTAACTTATCCAGACCATAATCAACTTTCGATGGCATCGATAGCCTGCGATATTAACTGGATTTGTGGCCCGACTTCCATTCATAATTTAATCATGAAATGGATAATCGAAACTATGTTTTTTATCGTACAGACTTTAGTAATGATGATCGTGGCTAGGCCGAAATTTGAATCGTTTAATTCTCGGTTCATAGTAGATCAATTTGACTGAAATCCTCAGCAAATTACCTTTACAGTATCTAGTTTTTAACTATTATAGTGAGAAATGCCAGTTCTTTATCTTATCTCCCATAATGTATCTTAAAGTCGAGTCCATCGGATTTGAACCTCAAAATAACGGTTAGAATATTCATTAATATATCACTATAAACGACAAGCAAGAGACAGATCATAAGTTTGTGTTCAACTGACTTTGCCTCACACCAACGCCTGGCCACACTTCCAGTCTTTGTCATGGGCAATTCACAACGATTTGAAACCAATCACAACGATTTGAACCACATTCAAAATAATAGTAAAGTCCATCTTCAAAAATTTAAACCCGGAACGAAATGAAGATAAGGTTTTGATCCGATTGAGTTAACGAACCACCAAATAATAGTTTTGTTTTTAGATAACCAGTTCCATTCAGGAAGAGTCAAAGTGTCTTTTTTAGAGAGGTTTTTGTTAGCTTAAATTACGACGCATGTCAATATAATATCCAAACGGGAACCTCCGTTTGAAATGTAGCGTCACATTGAAAGGCGTGGCTGTTCTAAAAACCTCCCTGATTGTCTTTTTTAAGTCCCCGGGAACAATTCAAATTGGTGGACTGAATGTGTATTTTCTGCTACACCTCTCCAAAACATTGGATACAGCTAAATCACTATCGTCATTACATTGCATTTCTGTTGTTATTCCCTTTAATCTTAGTCTAAATGCTGCTTTACTAGTGGAATATATCATTTTCTGACGGATTGTTGCGCATTCTGGACTCCTGAAAATAATATATAAAGAAGTACATGTATATGAAACAAATGCAGGTCGGATCGAGCGCCTGGCATTGAACAACTACGTTGTTCGGATGGGAGGAAACACCGGGGTCCCGTGACTACGTTTTTGGTGCAAGTTAAAGAACCCTTGGCAGTGGGTTCCGACGAAGAGTAGGCGAAAACCCCACTGTCCCTGAAAATGTCTCTCATAGCACACAGCCTGGCGTAATACCACCTTTATAATCCGGTTGGTCAGAAAGGTAGGACGTTAAACCCCACACTTTATTTATAAAACAGATAATGATGATAACAGGATAATTGTGGAGAAACGTTTTTTTTTTCTTGATTCGTAGAACAATTCGTGGAATATTTAAAGGTACAATTGCAGACCGTGAACTTGTTAGATCGAGAGGTTTTAGAGTGAGATCTTGGAGGGTCCACCGGAATTTGATCGGTAATATGAAGATGGGACTAAAAATTGAATGGGAATAAGAAATCCACACTGTTTTACAACATAATAACTCATCGACAAGTCGGGAAAAAAATCCGCGCAACATTTTCGTAAAATCGAAAGTAGTTCCTAAATCTAGTAATACGGTAGTAGTTTAATCCTGAGCCCTGCAGGAAATCCGAGGAACACGACAAAAGGTGTGCGCCTATATATACAGCCATATTCATTGAGTTACCTACCATAAGAAAAACACCAATCTTTCTTGTGGAACGTGATCTTGAAGAAATTGCACATCATAAACACCATATCGACATTGTTTCTTCCTTTCTGCGTCTTTTAATTGATCGACAAAATCTGCATACGTTCTGTCTGAAATAGCAAAATAGAAACTGGGCAATAAGACACCAAGTTTTGAAAGTTTTGCTATAATTTGGTCAGACCTATATAGATTCTTTGATGTCAAGAAATGTAGAAAGAAAATAAGAACGATGAAAAATTGAACGATCTGAATAAGTATCACTTATCCAAATCAACCTTTCTGCAGGAGAATCCAAAACTGAAAAATGATAACGTGTGGAGTAGACGCTTAATGATTTATACAACGGCCATACTCCGGATCCATTCACTTGATTTGATGGTGCGCTCCTCCTACATTTACTATTAATACGTCAATGGTATATGTACATACTATATATGGATACAATTACAATCATTGTGCTTATACAAAAGGAAAATCCAAGAAAAATGGTCATCAAAAAGCTTAACCACTGGATACGGGTTGTCGGGCTAAAGTAGTTTTATGGCCCTGTCTCTGCACGGTTAGATCTACTTGATAAGGCCAACTTTAAGTTTGGTCAAAGGTCACGAGATGTAAACAGGGATAGCACTAATCCCAACCCTGGACCTAGTCCTGACACTTACGCTAACCCTAACCCAACCTTATTTACATCTCAGCGACCTTGACGAAATCTTGAGTTGACCTTAAGATATAGATCTAGCCGTCCCTGCACCCCCTGTGCCCTTGACTAAAACAGAAACAAACATACCCCGATCCCCAATTTCATCTATTATTATATTCTTGAGATCATCTGATATTCTATAGATGATGTACAGCCATCGATGATTCATCTTGATCTCGTGGAAAGCTTGAATACATTGTTCTGTCACACCCACGCCAGACGACTGGAAGAAACAAAATAAATATATAAATACAAGCGAATTCCATGAGAGTCAAGGACCACACTTATTGTAAGTTGTCAGTTCTGTGATCAATTACACTTTCTGACAATGTAATTTTATTAAAATAAGCATTAGAATTTGTGCCCCATGAATTTTTGTGCCCGCTCGCGTGGTTTCAGTTCAGTTTTCAATGACGCGCAACAGCCATCTGTTGTCAGATATGCTACAAATCTACTCCAGATGTTCCCCCACCACAACCCCTTTTCCCATATTCATATTGGGTTTTCGTGCTCCCACCACAACCCCTTTCCCATAACCATATTGGGTTTTCGTGCTCCCATCACACAACCCCCCTCCAACACCTGGATCTTGAAATATCAACGGTCACTACACCCCACATATAAATACCATTACCAAGAAGGTTGATGAAAATGCTTCAAAGGAAGAAATAAAAACACAAATATTCCTTACATGTCGCAAAGATTGTGCCCCCTTCATTTTTAAATTCCTAGACTTAGTAGAATATGTGTACAAGTATCCTGTACACTGTATGTACTGTATCTGGCAGCAAGTGCACATTCTCAACCAGGATGATTTGTTATAATTTGAAATAAACCGGAAGTTGGGCATCTTGTTACGGTATATTTGTTGGGCATCTTGTTACGGTATATTTGTTATATAATTAAAGGGAGGGACAATAAACGATACTATAGCGAAATAATGGGCATTATTTAAGAATATAGATATTGTATCTTAAACGGTTAGAATTTATAATTGAATATTCATATTCAATACTCAGTTAAGTAGAGATATTTTAGTAAAATGCATTATCAATTGTAGACACGATTTCGCTGTTTCCATCCAAAACCTTCCGACCAGCAACACTCTCCTTGACAGAAATGAAATGAAATGGGGTTTAACGTACTACTGCTCCGATTTAGCTAATGATGACGGGCATATGCCATACAGTTTGCTATGAGGAACATTTTGCCCTACGGCCTACTCTTATATCAAATTCCAACTGTAAAGGGATCTTTTACGTACACGTCAATGTGTACACGGGACCTCGGTTTTCGTCCCATCCGAACGACTGACAAGGGGTGGACCACGCCGGAAAATCTGGATGAACATTCTCGGCCAATGCTGGGATCAACACCCGACCTCCAGGCTAGCAAGCCAGCGTCTTACCCACTTAGCCACCGTGACCCCTAACACTTATTCTGGTTTGTTGGTTCTTTAGAATTGCAGAGGGAAATCTATCAAATATCCTGACACACTGCAGACGAATCATATACAGCCTGACAATTGTGTAATCCAGTCTGATACTAGAAGATTCTAGTTACACGAGTGTGTACTTGGTAATGTATAACTGTAACAGGAAGTTTGTTTATTTATAATATGATCTGACTGTAAATATCAATGTTAGGGTGGAGAACTACAACATATCTATTTTTTTTTTTTAAAGCAGTTCTCTTTTTACTAGAATAAATATACAGACGTAAATTCATTTTCGGAATAAAAGTTTAACCCGGCCCTTGAAAGCTAAGCATAGTGATTGGATGGCCGAATGGATAGCGCGTGCGCGTTGAATCATAAGGTCTGTCATTAAGTCAACTGGCGTGGTTTCAATTCTCCAGGGGTGCGTGACAAGTTCGGGTCGCCTGTACAACCTAGCGGGTTTCCTCCGGGTCCTCCTGTTTCCTCCCACTGCTAAAGACCCCTACGAGCAAGTGAATTATTGAAATAAAATTTAACCATATTGTCAGTTCCGAAATGACCTAGTTTGTGTCGAGTGGAACTTAAACCCATCTCCCTCTCTCTCTCTCTCTCTCTCTCTCTCTCTCTTTGAAAAGCTAAGCTTGGGTAATCTGTTCCTGGATCATGACCACAATGATCCCATTTCACATTATTGGAGGGCGTGGTTGATCTACCAGTGCTAAAAGACAGGAAATTTTCTAATAAAAATGTTGTCGTTCAGAACTTAAAGGCACGATGTGTCATTAAGTCTTAGTGCTCTAGGAATTCCAAAAACATTGTGTAATCAAAAATGGTTCAATTCCGTTCAGTATTTAAGCTATGGTAAATTTGAATTACAGCGATCTATGCTGCTCGAGCGCAACAACACAGCCATCTTTTATTTGTAGCGGAGAAACCTGATTGAATAAAAGTCGAGAGAATATCAAGCGTAGGTATTTCGATTTAGCGTGTATTATAAGCCGCTAGAAATTTGATATTTTAACGAAATTTGATATTTCAGCGAAATATTACGTACGAAATAAATCTTGCGTCTTCAAATGTTATATAAATTATTAATTAGACATTTATTCCAAAGAAAAACCTATAATCAACTCTCTAGACTATCGGATGGCTGAGATTTAAATGGATTGAAACACTAACGCCATTTAATAACTCTATTTATAAATGGTGAATTGAGACTTAGTCATTTAAATTAAATTTTCAATGTATTCATTTCTCATTATCTATTTTGGAGCTATTAAAAGAACGGCCAGCTTTTTATCTAAATCTTACATGACCACGATCGAAACCACGCCAATTAAATCAAAATGAATAAATATTATGGAGGTTTTCAAAGTTGATCACAATAATACCAGCCAATTGCTAAAACCAACTATTTAAGTGTTGATAAATACAGATCAAAGGCTTTTAATCGAAAACCACTTTACCTAGAAAGTAAACGTACAGGCAGACATTGTATTTAATTTATTTAGATTAGATTTTAAAATAAATGTGTAAAGTATCTAGAAATGGATTAGCAATATATTTGCGGAAATAACTAATATAAAATTGGTTTATAATACTAATCAAGAATAATATAAATATCTATAAAGCGGAAATCTGTTTTCATAATATTGTCTAAATATTCTAAAATAGAGATAAGCAATCCATGAGAGCAGAAATGAAATGAAACCGGGAATACCACCAACCTGCACCAAGCGGACTAATGAAGACGGGCATACGTCATACGATGTGTTGCATGATAACTTTAGCTTGGACAGCTGCGTTCCCAGCTATGCGTTTCGTGGATTTCCATCTGCCAAGGGATCTTTTATGGACACGCCAACGTTTCTTGTGAAAGAAATTTGCCCGAAGAGAAGCGTGTCAGCCAGGGGCTCTTTTATGTGCACACCACGTGTACCGGTACATCGACTGTTCGTCATAAGTCACTAACTAGACGATATTCCTTGCATGGAAACTCTCTACAGCCAACACCGAGATTGAATCCGGGACTTCCTGGTCAATGAGGGAGTGCCTTACTCAATGGGCCACTGTGGCTTCCTCGGCGAGCGGAGTTAGGCCCCATTGTGCCTCATTTCAAAACCGTTTACATAACTGTAGTCATATATTCATATCGGGTTGTTAAGGGTATTACATTTATTTTATCTCTAAAATATAAATAGGAATAATGTTAATCGAGTTATTTATATACAAAATGTAGACGAAGTATCTCAAAACTTCGTGAAGCTTCACATTTCCGTCTATCAAAATACTAAAGATGTCAGCGGGATGCCAAACATACCAGGTGGAAAGTCAGTTTTCCTTTTCTATTTGTACATATTCCCGGGAGACTATTTAATGTAAACAACACAGGTAAAACTATCCATGCTGTATATATATAAAACTAGCGTATATATCTTTACATATTATGCAGTCGGAATGTACGACATAATTCTAACTCTTAAAGGTACATTATGAAATAAAATAAAATGAAATTGTTACCACTGTTTGTCGTGTATTTTTTTACACGGTGAACAGTCCATTTGCTGATTACACTATTTTGCCTATACTGTTTTTTTTTTAGGACTTCGAATTTTGTCTAAGGGTTTTTATTGTTCGTACTTGGTTTTATTTTATTTAAAGTTCTACTTTTCTACTCCGACTGGGATAATGAAGACGGACATACGGCATGCCGTGTGCTATAAGGGACATTTTATTCGGTTAGTGGGGCTATGACCACCAACTCTTATATCGAATTCCTTATATCCCGCCGGAAATCCCGATGAACTTTCTTGGCCAACTCAGGGATCGAACACGGGACGTCTAGGCTAGGGAGCCAACATCTTACTTACTTACTCGATCTCAAAGATGTATAACGTAAGATTTAGATAAAGAACTGGTCGTTCTTTCTAAAATAGTTCAAAAATGAAATGAAAAAAAAAATTATTATATTATTGAAAATTTCAGCCAAATTACCCTTTTCTGAGAAAAGCTATGAGTGTTTGAAGTTTTGACAAGAAATAGCTGATTGTCAAGAAACAATTTCCTTGATAATAAAGGCAGTCTCAATTGTCAGTTCTTTTTATTAAGCGACATCCATGTTAATGTTAATTAATTATATGGCGCGGATGGTCTAATTCATTCAATATCTAAGTCATCCGGTGGTATAGAGAGTTGATTATGGGCTTGTCATGTGAATATTAACGTTAACCGATTATATATGCACGGATGGTCTAATCCATTCAATATCTCAGCCATCCGGTGGTATAGAGAGTTGATTATGGGCTTGTCATATGATGAAATGTTTAAATAATAATTTAAATAACACATGGAACTACAAAAAACTGCAATAGGCAGACATAGCTCTTGAATAATACATCTTTAACATAGTAATGCGTATGCTAATATGCTTACTTCAATGAATGTAACTTTTTACTTACACATGGTAAATTGTCTATTTACAAATGTAAAAGTGATATTTTATTAGATTTATTTCTGAAATATTGCAGTTTTAACTTATATTTCGTTCTGTTTCTAATACGTTCAATATTATTACATAAATACGCATAATAAGGTTAAGCTTCAGAATTATGTCGTACATTCCGCTCCATATCCTAGGGCTACTGTTATGCATCAAATAGCAGGTTTGGATCAACTCTACCATTCTTATTAAGTATACAAACTTGGGTAAATTTCCGATACTTTGTAGTTTTAGCCACAATATACTAGTACTAAGCATGTGGAATCTGTATTCTATTTTCCTGCCGTTATTTTGGCGCGAATTGATGCCATCTGGCATCCCGCCCATTCATTCCTCTCCCACTAGTCACTATAACCTAGAGTATACTATAGAATGACGTATTGTAGCTGTACTGCCGTTCTATTTGACGATAATATCACCATATCTACACATTTCATGGTGACCTTTACATATCATAAATAACGGGAATTATTTAACCACGTCTGTCTCAATAGAACAATTTCACCCAGGCAGCGTCGTTTCTGCCTTTGTTCTAAATCTGGTCAAGGTTTCTTTGACGAGCTCGATTACTATTCACCCAACAAAATAGTGAACACACGTTACGTCAATACGAAACGGACAAACGTTTGAAATAAGAGACAAAAAAGTTCATAAAGAAGAGTTATCGATGGGTGGAAACGCCATTGTAAGATACATCTCCTACCTAGCATTGCACAAATGACAATAGCATATAAAAATCATGGAAGTATTATATATTGAAGAGACATTAAACTCCATTCTGTTCGATTTCAATCTATTCAGTTTCGATTTTAAAGGAAACAATGAAATGAAATAGGGTTTAATGCCCTTATACTGTTCTGCTTCGAAAC